TACGAAAATTCATTAACTTATTATGAATTTCTTAGTTTTGCACACACAGTTCCCATACTGAAATTCATAAATTTATTATGAATTTCATAGTTTTGCACACATAGTGCCCATACGGAAATTCATAAACTTATCCCTACTAAATTCCCATCATTTAGCTTCTTCTAAAATCTAATTTCTCCAAAGAATATCCCAAACCAAGAATCATACTACTTTTTCACACATGTTTTAAATCACATCTAATGCTTCTAATCTCTTATTTACCTCTTTGGTAAGTCAAAAATACTTTTAAACTTCAATAAAAACTCATTTTTCATCATATTACTCAAAAACCCATTTTCTTTAATCTCAAATAATTCACTAATAACTTAGTTTTAATGCCATTTAAATCTTCCTTAAGCTTCCACATCACTTAAGGTTTTAACACTAGCCCATAAACTAAAAGAAAAACCAATTTGAAGAAAGCTCATCTTTGGCTATAGAGGAGAGCGTAGGACGAGCAAGACGTGAAGAAAATAACTTAATTTACTTACCCCCTTTTTTCTTCTTAAATATCCCAACTAAAATAACTTTTAAATCAATTTCCCTCCAAAGGACCAAAATTCCCTTTTATTCTTCAATTCTTACTAATTAGTCTTAAACACAAATCCTCATTCATTTTCTTATACTTTACCATTTATTTGATTAAATTTTCCAAATTTTAAATCATTTTAATATAGTCACTAACTCGATATTTGGGGTATTACAGGAACATTGGATCAATTTTCTAATAGATGGTCAAGATCTAAGGCAAGGGCTAGGGTTTTGCAACCCTAAATAATATCATCAAGCACAGTCAATCCACAACCATTGGAACGAAGTCTTTGATCCAATGGCCATAAAACATCCAAAAGATACCATAGGATACAGAAGATCACTGATCGATCAATAGCTGGTGCGTGAAGACCACGCACCGATGAAACATGCTATTTCGCCAAACATGGGAATTTTTCAAGCAAAAAGAAAAAACTCGAAGCGATAATTAGAAAATCAACAAGAACTCTTTCTAAAAGGAAACACAATCAACAAAATCAAACCAAATATAGGAATAAATCGAACCAAAAATGAAAATACACAATAGGGATCGAATCAAAAGCAAATAGGAAATAAATCCTCAAATCAAGATAGCTCTAAGGGGTTCACACCCTCGTTAAACGAAGGAAAATAGCCACTCTTCGAGCTAATAAGACACATATAAAACGAGAAGGATGCATGAGCTTTTTACATTTGAAATAACCAAAAATATCAGAAAATCGAAGGGGAAAGAAAACACTTAGCTTAGTTTTGTCGATGCCATAGAGACTCAAATATTCATCGAAGAAAATAAATGAATGTCGAGGGAGTTAAAAGGACACTAAAAAGGGTAAAAATCAATGGTCTTTTGTTAGATCTAAGTCGAGGCCTTTTTTGCATGGTCGTTTGGTGAGTGGATTTTGGTTTGAGGTTATTAGGTAAGCATTTTTGGTAGCTTTAGGGTTCTTGACACACGTCATTTTCGTGTCAAAATAATTCATTATTCTCAAATAATAAATAAAGGGCATTAAACATAGTAAGAGAGAAGTAATGATTGATCCCAGAGGGAGTAACAAAACTTCTTGATTTATGCTTGTTCAATCTGTTAGCCAATAAGTGAGTTGAATAATATTTAAGTTAAGGTGGGGATTTTTTGATGAAAAGAGAAAAATAAAAATAAAATAATAAAATAAGATATTATAAAGAAGATTAAAAAGAAATAGATTCGATACGGTATAAGTAAGCCTTAGGCATTTACTTTGACTCAGTTTCCTCGGAACATCGAAAAAGGTTTTTTACTTCGAGATTCACATCGGTTACATGTGTACAAGGACCAATCTTTGTGACTATGCTTTGTATACCAAATACCTAAGTGTAACCCTTGATATCGATTTTGGAAAATTGACCTAATCAACAACAAAGTTGTAGATAAAAAATGTTTAAGTTCGTAAAAGATCGACTCAGACTATGTTGTTTTAATAATTACTGATTTTTATCTCAGTTTCCTCTTTGCAAACAATTTTGCTAAGTGTGTTCCTAGGAAGTTGAATGTGCTTCAATAAGTCGATTCTTCCTCCCACACATTTAGCCATAACAACATCCTCACCAACGTCAATATTTGGTTTTTAAATCATTTTGATTTTGAAAATAAGGTCAAAGAAACTTAGAGAGATATCTGAAGTTGTTAAGTGTTTTTCGATTCTCACATTGGAATTGAGTCATCGCTTTAGTCCTCATCTTGAAGGAAAATTAGCTAAGCATGACAGATGTCATACTTAGCATTAAAAATAAACAAAGTAAAAACTAAAAGAGATTTTTTTTATAAAAACAAAGAAAAGAAAGGTTTTTGATCACAATGATATAAAAGAAATGAAGAATTGATTCATGTTTTAGGCTCATCCTAAGGGGTATTTATAGTCTTCTAAATACCCTAAAAATAAGCTGAAAATACAAATGATAATTGTTTGAATTTAAATTCTAAAAATAAAAAGATAATTCCTAAAGACTTGAATTTTGAAACTCTAGTTATTCGTCCTTTTCTAGAATTACTGACTGAACCTTCTGGAAGCTACTTAGTGGAACTTCTAGAAGCTACTGATGAACTACCACGTCAGCCTTTTCATGCCCAGATTCATGCCTATTGTTCCAGCCTTGATTCCAGAACAAAATTGTGCAATTTCTGATTTTTTTAGCATATTTTTCAGAAGTCACTCTTATGTACAAAATTCATGTTAAAAGGCCCAAATCAACAATAATAATGAACAATCAAAGAGTATTTAAACACAAAATATAGAACAAAATAAACACTAGTCAGTGCTCTGGCCACCGTGGGTGGTGGTCAGAGCGGTGGTGAGGCAACAGTGGCTAGAGTGACTAGGTGGTGGCGCTTTGTATGTTTTCTGGGAATAGTTTAGAGAGGGGAGAGTGCATTTTTTAAGTTTTTTGTTGAGGGAGGGTGAAGAATGAAATAAAAAAAAAAAGACAAACAATGGCCATTTTTAAGAGGATCCTTTATGTAAATACAATCATTTCTACAATCCATAAACGTTTGATTTTAATTTTAATTTTATTTTGTTTAAATTGATACATTGATGTTTTTGTTATTTTTATAGAATTTGATCACTTATTTTTTATTTTATATGTCAAGTTTATTTTTTAAGGGCCATATTAAATCTTAAATGATCGTCAAAGGTAAATGATTCGGATCAAACTTTAATTTAAATTTTTATTTAAGCTTTAATTTTCGTGATTAAGACAATAAGGTAATCGAATGGTACCAAAAGAGTGATTTGAGGCCGCTTATATTTCCTTGATTATAAACGACTCCAGAATTCGAAAAAATCACTGGTAAGATGCAGATCCAGTAAATTTGTAATTTTGAGGTGCCCGATCCACCTAATTCGAAAGTAGTCTATGACAACTCTATCATACAATCCGAGTCGAAATGCGAACCCGAGACCACCCGAAGGACTGTTTGCCAACACCGCTTGATTGGATGGTTACTTTTTTTAATTAAGTTAAAACTATGACTAAATAGAATATGTAAGTACTAAGGATCAAATGTATAATTATACCAATTTTATTAAATGTCACGTCAGTACTTCCGTCAAATATTAACGACAAGTGGAAATCAATTAATAAATTAAGTGGTCATATTGACGAAATTTTGAAAATGGTGGTCATATCAACAACAAGTCTAGTCTCGTAGTTAGGTGGTCATACAAGTAGTTTACCCAAAAAAATATATCGCGTCAGTAGTTCTATTAGTTTTTTAACGATAGGATATTAAATTGAAACATAAACTAAATGTTAAATATAATTTTGAAAAAAATAGGTATCAAAATAGAATAAAAGTAATAATTTAGATATTAAACGTGCATAATTAAAATCTCCATATAAAAAGGCAAAGCAAAATCTTGCTCCAAAACGCTACCATAATAAGGAGCTAAAAGAAAATAAAAGAAAAGCTAGAAAAAGGGCTGCCCAACCAAATCACTAGTAATATGCAAGTCTAGTAAATGATAATTTTGAGGTGTCCAGTCCAGTTAATTCGAAAGCGGTCCCCTCCATCACACAATTCAAGTCGAAACGCGAACCTGAGACCACCCGAATGACCGTTTTGACAACACCTCTTGATTGGAAGGTTCTTTTTTGAATTATGTTAAAACTATGACTAAATAGAATATGTTCGTACTAAGGATCAAATATATAATTATATCAATTTTATTAACTGTTGCGTCAGTATTTTCGTCAAATATTAACAACAAGTGGTTATATTGAAACCAATTAAATAATTAAGTGATCATATTAACGAAATTTTGAAAATGATGATCATATCGACATCAAGTCCAATCTCGTAGTTAGGTGGTTATTCAAGTAGTTTACCCTGAAAAATATATCACGTCAGTATTTATGTTAATTTTTTAACGATGAGATATTAAATTGAAACATAAACTAAATATTAATTATGATTTTGAAAAAAATAAAATTTAGGTATCAAAATATAATAAAAGTAAAAGTAATAATTTAGATATTAAACGTGCAAAATTAAAATCTCCATATGAAAAGGCAAAGCAAAAACTTGGTCCCCACCGCTGCCCAAACAAGGAGCTAAAAGAAAAGAAAAGAAAAGAAAAAGCAGCCCAACCAAATCCCAACTCATCAATCTAGCTTAAACGGAAACTTTACACACAATAAAGATTATTCCAGTTTCATTAAATTATTAAATATAATTGTTATTCCTTATATAGCTTAAACAAATAAAAACAAAAACAAAAAATCCAACCCAACAGTAGCCGTATTTCATGCAACATTATAAAAATATTTCAACACCAACCCTTTCTCTTACCTCACCGCTCACATCTTCTTCTCTTCCATTATTTAAACAAACCCCATCTTACCATTCCATATTCATTATTTTCCACCTTCATTTCATGATTTTAGGGGAGAAAATGTCCACAGATTTTGAATTATTACACGATATAAGATTTCCGAAGCTGAAGGTTCAATCATCGAACAAAAACGGCACTGTAATTCACGACGAAAACGAGTGCAGAACACCGATCTCGAAAGAAAACAAGATCCCTGCTGTTGTGTCGTGTCCGCCGGCACCAAAGAAACCTAAGAGGAGAGGCGTTTCATGCAAGAGAAAACTTAATTTCTTCGACATCGTTAACAGGGAAGAAGTTGATACGTTTTTGAAAGCTGCTTCCGATGATTCTGTCTCCAAAAGAAGGTGCCCTTGTACATGAAATATAATTTCGTTGTAATCACTAATTGAAATTACAAGCAAAATCTACCACTGGGATTCAAACAAGTTTAAACAAGTCTGTAGATATTCTGAGTAGAGATTTAAATTATGATTTCAGTCGTGTTTTCGATTGTATTGTGTTTATCACTATTGTGACAATAACGGGTGCTGTTGTGATAACTGTAAATATTGTGATTGTGCCATAACGATTTCGAACAATATCTTTACCGTTATATAAGAATTGTTATTTTAATGGTGGACTACTATTTAAATGTCTGATTCCGACGACTTAAAGGGTTTGTATCTAATCTATACATGTTAAAAATGTTCATTTATATGATATTTGGTTTAATATTTTATTTTATCATATATATATACATGTTATATTTGTTATTTTCCTTTTCCAAATTTGACTCCAAGTTGTGCTTGAATTTCAGAAACTTTTCAATTTGCAATTCAATGAAGAATAATGATATTTTATTCTTGAGATAGGTAGGTAACGTGGGGTGTTAATTTTATTAAGTTTGAGAAGCTAGAGAAGGGGGCAATTTGAACTTTGAAGCTTCTAACGAATATTATTTTATTAGTTTTGGTTAAATTTAAGGGTAAAGTATATAAATAGTCCCCGACTATAGGATATTATTTTGTTGAATTCTAAAAGTTATAAAATGATCCTTTGACATAGGGTATTACTTTGTTAAGTCCTTTAACTGTTAAAAATTACAAATGGTTATCCGACTATTTATATGTTTCAAATTCGTCATTTTTTTATAAAAAAAATTAAGTCTAAACAAGACATTAACGTACTGACTCTGATATGATAGTTGTTTGAGATTCTATATCAGATTTTATCATATCCCAGTAAGTATATTAACATCCAGCTTAGACTACTATCAAGTTTTTAATGGAAAATGACGAGTTTAAAATATACGAATAGTCGGGTGACCATTTTGTAACTTTTAATAGTCGAGGGACTCAACAAAGCAATACTCTATAGTTGAAAGACTATTTTATAATTTTTAATAGTCGAGAGACTCAACAAAATAATATCCTATAATCAGGGGGCTATTTGTGTATTTTGTCCTAAATTTAAAAATGGTTGTTTTCTTTTTAATTTTGAATTGTTTGAATTTTAGTTTTTGGATTGACATGTGACAAACTTTTTGAGTGATTGACAAGGCTTTGGAATTGCCAAATTTTATATTTGAAATTTGATATCACCATAGTAAAATAAAGTAGATGACGTATGTCTATTTGATGTTTTATTTGTCTATATGAATATTATAAATGTTTAAATCTTATTGAACATTAATATAATTAAATGTAATTCATTATGTGATATTGATTGATTCCTGATAATATATTGTATATATGACTTTTTGTAATATTAAGATAGAATAACGTTTTTAAAATGTAAAACATATTTTAACAAAAACTAACATATTTTAAAATATTACTTTTATGATATTGTTTCTATTAAGAAGAGTTCACTGCTCTCGTTAATAATATGAGCAAACGTTTCCATGGGAGTGCACTTTGGGAACTGTTCAGCTTCCATTATAAGGTTACTAGATGGAGAATAGGAGAAGGAACTACAAATCGAATACATTTGCTTTTATTCGGTTTTCGACGTTGAAGGATATGTTATCGGCTGTTATACCTTAATTTTGTTCGAGAGTATATGAATCGCAATTCAAGGTCGATGATTTTACAAATTATCGCAACCGTCTTTCGGGTGGACTCGAAATTGGGCTTCGACTTGAATAAATTGATTAGAGTCGCCACCGATAATTTATTTTAATAACAAAATGGGTTAATCGGATACCTCGAGCTCTTACATGATCTGCATCTTACCAGAGATATGTCGGATTCGGGAGTCGGTTACAGTCAATGAAGGATTACCACCCTTAAACTACCCTTTCGGTACTAATTAATTTCCAGTTGTCTTTAATTAAGAAAATTGAAAATTAAATTAAAATTTAACAATTGATCCAGATTACTTACCTTTAACGATTACGAAAACATACCCTTAAAAAGTCAAAAAAAGTATTAGATGCAATACAGTGCAGAATCGAACTAATTGCAAAGTTAAATGTAAACCATTACTATAATAAAAAAAATGAGTAAAATAAATAAAAATATAAAAACCCTTAAATAAAACTTAAATAATAATAAACCGAAAAATAATAAAGAACTAATATAAAAATAGAAGAAAAAATAATAATAAATAAAATAAAATAAATAACATAAATAAAACGAAGCAAATTAAAATGAGAATAAGAAAAAGAATAAAAACAGAAACAAAAAAATATAATAATAATAATAATAATAATAATAATAATAATAATAATAGACAAATAAAAAATAAAACAAAACTTAATATATGTATATATATATATATAATGAAAAAGAAAAAAGATAAAAATATATATAAATAACGTTATGTAAAAAAAATAATACAAAAAAAGAAAAAATAAAGAAAGAAATATATATATATATATATATATATATATATATAATAAAACATAACCAAGAAAAATAATAATAAAAAAGTAAAAAGATAATATATATATATATATATATGTAAATATATTATATTAAGTAAAATAAATAAGGAGAAAAAAATAAATTAATTGTAACAAAAATAAAAAATAAAAAAGTATATATATATATAAGTGACTAAATTGGAAGAAAATCAAAATAGAAGATCGAACTCAAAGAAAAATTCAGAATTAAAATTGATTTTGGGGCCAAAATAGAGGTTTTAAAAACAACGAGGGACCGAAATGGGGATTATCCCCTTTTCATCGAAAACACGCGGGTCTAAGGGTCTGGATGGGTCACACGCGGGTCACTTGGGCCTTGGTATAAATACCAAAAATCCAACAACACAAATCATTTTCCCTTCCCTTAAAAAATCAGATCAAAACAACCCCAAAGTTTTCTCTAAAAACATTCAAAGTGTTCTTCATGAAATGAAGAACACAGTTGCGTAGCCCAGGTTTAGACGAGTCACCGCCTCGTCGGCCACTATTGATCAGCGGCGACTAACCAAAAAATTCTGTTTTTTAAAAAGCTTTTCCCCCCTTCTTTCGAAAATCAACTTGTTTTTTCAAAAAATGTCACAGGGGAGACTAGATCTAGGAGAGAACTTTCGAAACCTTCCCCCTTTTCATCGATACAACCCTCTTTTTGGGTTTTTATGGGTCAAAAAGGAAAACGAGAGAGCAAATCCAAGCAAAAATGACCGAATCGAAGGTAAAAATAATACCTTTTTTATTTCTCTTTTCTTTCGAAAGTTACAAGACTTGGCTTGATTTCCTATCTATTTCGTATATCTTATTTGTGTTTTTTCATGTTTACATGCAGTCATATATATACAGTCTAATAAATCCTATTTTAGACTCCTATTTGAACTAAAGCTCTCATTTTTGGTTGTTTGTGTTCCACACATCGCCGGCTCCGTTAAGCCGAGAAAAACGGGTGGTCGATTGAGGAAAGTGGTCGGTTGGTGCGCGTTTGGTTGAGGGGCATGCGGCGGTTGAGGAAATTGGCTAGGGTTTGAAAACCCTAGGTGCTTCGGGTTAGGTGTGGGATCGGTTTGGGTCGGAACCGGGTCCCGGGTTGCTGTTGGGTCTGGGCTGTTGAGTTTATTGTTGGGTTGGCTGCTGGACGGGTATATTTGGGTCTGTAAAGGAAAAAAATGACATGTATTATTATTTTTAAGTAAAATATATATATGATATATATAATATATGTGTATGAATAAAAATTAGTGTCCACAACTACCCCTCTTTTCCCATAGACGTGTAACAGGAATAGGGTAAAGATTACAAGACACAATTTTCGTCTATGAATGTATCCCTGAGTTTAGTATCAAATATCCTCCATCGTAGAGTTGAAATCCGATATTATGATTGGTTTGTTAATCTGGACTGTATCACGAAATCCGTGAGGTTGAGTTGAACTGGAAAATTCTGAGCACGATATCCTTCATTTTGAAGTTGAAAAATAACTCAGAGCTTTGGCAAGTAGCTTCTGGGTCATCTTCTAGCCCAAGTCACTTTGTCGTGAAGCTGAAATTTGGACTGAACACTTCGGTGTTATTGTGTTATAGATGACTCTTTCATCGTGAAGTTGTGTCAATCTTTTGCATACGATATCCTTCGTTGTGAAGTTCAAATCGTAGGAATTGAAAAGTGGCTTCTTGTTTCCAATCTTGACCTTGGTCTTCTTCTCTACTTAAAGACCTTGGTGTGAAAGTTTGACTGGAAAGTAGTTCCTTGCTACTACCTTGAGGTGAATACATCCTCGAGCTGAATGGTATCAAACTTGGCAATTTTTTGTTGACAGATAACTCTTCTCGCCTTTGAGTTATGTTGTACTTGGCATGGGAATAAACCCCTATTGTTGGAGATGACTTATTTATTGTGAGATTAAGTTGATCTGTTGGGCACGATATCCTTCGTCGTGAAGTTGAAATCGTGGATGACTCATTCATTGTGAAGTTGAGCTTTGAATTGGATATCCTTCGCTGTAAAGTTGAAATCACATCTTATAAATTTATTGCTTCGAGTTCAATATTTTTCGTTGTGAAGTTGAAATTGACTCTAGCAAGAATCTGCAAAATTATGCACATATGTGAGGCTATGGATGCAATGCTCTTAGGTGTGCCTAAAATGCATAGGCAAGATATGTTATTTTGGGTTCTGGAGAGAAATCTCAATCTCCGGTTATCGGTCTTGATGAGTCTCGACTGACTCTTGACTCTGGAATCTTGAATTTCTGATTACCGATCTTGAATTCTTCAAATGTTTAAATCTGATGTGTAGATTTTATTTTTTTATCCTTGATTTGGGAAATGTTTCTCAACCATCTCAAGTATAGTGCATGAGCCGTGATCGGCTTCCGAGTACCTGTATTTTTCAAAAATCTTTGTACAATAATATGCAATTATCTTTTTCATAAATGAATAAATCATTAGGTTTAAATTCAACCCAA